AACCCGGGAGGCGGAGCTTGCAGTGAGCTGAGATCCAGCCACGGCACTCCAGCCTGGGCGGCAGAGCGAGACTCCGAAAAAAAAAAAAAAAAAAAAAAAAAGAATTCAATGGGCTGATTTAACCAGCATGTCAGACAAATCACTGAGGGAGGAGGTGAAATGGAAGACAGAGTAGAAGGAATTTTGGAGAACATAGCAAACGGAGATAAAAGCTGGGAAGAGCGGGAGAGAAGCTAAGGTGCAAACAGAACAGTAAGATGGTCCAACAGACATCCAATGGAGTCCTTGAAGGTCAGAAGATAGAGAATGGGGCAGAGGAAACATTGGAAAGGATAAAGGTTTTCAAATTTTCCAGATCAAAGACATTAATGTCCAAATTAATGTCCCCAATCCCTCTCTCTCTCTCTCTCTATATATATATATATGTGTATATATATATATTTTTTGAGATGGAGTCTCACTCTGTCACCCAGGCTGGAGTACAGTGGCACAATCTCGGCTCACTGCAAGCTCCGCCTTCCAGGTTCACGCCATTCTCCTGCCTCAGCCCCCCAGTAGCTGGGACTACAGGCGCCCGCCACCACGCCCAGCTAATTTTTTGTATTTTTAGTAGGGATGGGGTTTCACTGTGTTAGCCAGGATGGTCTCGATCACCTGACCTTGTGATCTGCCCGCCTCGGCCTCCCAAAGTGCTGGGATTACAGGCATGAGCCACCACACCTGGCCAGCAAGTTTTGTAAGTAACTAGAGATGTCCAAAGGTTAACAAGTCCAAACTTGAGCTCTCCTGCACGACAGCCAATAAGTCAAGACAAGGAGTTAAAGCCAAGAAGGCAACAAATTCATTTTGGAGAGCAGCAAGCCCAGCAGATGTGAATGAGCATCCTCGGGAGCCATCTCACGTGGGTATGAGGTTCAGCCCCTTTTCATGTTCAGGGCAGGGGAAAGAGGAGGGCATGTGATCAAGGGGTGATGGATGACAACTGGGTACCAGTGAGGCTCCGAGGAGGTTGGGAACTTCCTCTTCCTTTTCAGGTCACAATGCTCCTGTAAATCTTCAACAAAACACAGCTGTTTACATGCTTCCCCTTCAATCCTCGAATTAGTTTCAAAAACCACATGAAAACTACTGTCCTTGCATTTTATCTCAGTGCTCTACAATTATCCTAACCTATGTGCAAGAGTGGGTAAAGACCCCTTAAACAAAAAAGGAGTAAGTGATGTGAGTTGTTTTGTGGTCTCACTGTTACGCAAATAGTCCTTTAAGGCAATTTGGTGCATGTGCTAATCCTGCCAGTGAGAGCCGTTGACACCGAGAAGAGCTCACCATAGGTGTCAATTATCTTCAACTTGGACTTTGCCTTATCTGCATGCTGAATAGATGCCTCTATTCCTCAGGATTGAGTTATTACTAGATATATTGCTATCCTCCTGAAATATTTTTGGAAATAATTATTCCTAATCAGTGCTTCACATACACACACGTGCGCACATACCAGCTTCCAAGCTGGTTGTTGGCCACCACAGGCCTTCGTGGCTGCTCTCTAGAAATGGCTGTTTCTGGCTGTGTGTACACTTCACAGCCTTGCTCGGAGTGAGCTGGGAAGCCAGCAAGCCACTGTCTCCACCGCCCAATCTGGGAGGCACTAGCCCAGTGCCTCTGCGCCTCTGCTGTGTTCTCGCCCCGGAAGCAAGTCACCCAGTCCAGTCCACACTCCTGGCATGGGACTGCACATGATGTGGGAGACCAGGAGGCAGGATGACCAGGACAGACAGTGGGAGGGCTCCTCTGGTGCTCCTCTGACCCCCCAGAGTTGGGACCCCCTGGCTTTCTCCCACCCTAGGATTCCTGGCATCCAGGACAGCAGTCCTGAGCCCCGCAAGCCAAGGGATCGTCCACCTGCCGATGAGAAAGAAATCTGCAGGAATTCTGAGAAGAGCTCACCTGCATGCCTCACAGGAGGGAGAGGCTTAGGAAGACTCTAAGGCGACAGACATGGAGCCCCAGTAGATGTGCAAGGCGGAAGAGGAGGCGGCAGTGAGCAGCGAACCTGCAGTTGGCACCACAAGGCATTGCACAGGGGCCAGGAGCAGCGGCTCACGCCTGCACTCCCAGCTGCTCAGGAGGCTGAGGCAGGAGGATCCCTGGAGCCCAGCAGTTCAAGACGAGCCTGGGCAATATAGCAAGACTGGCTCTATAAAAAGTTAAAAAAAAAAAAAATAGCTGGGCTCTGTGGCATGTGCCTATAGTCCCAGTTATTCAGGAGGCTGAGGTGGGAGGATCCCTTGAGCCCAGGAATTTGAGGCTGCAGTGAGCTGTGATTGCACCACTGCACTCCAGGTTGTAACAGAGTGAGAATCCATCTCTAAAAAAATAAATTTTAAGAAGCCAATTCACAGATTAGGCTAAGAGGGCGGGTGAATGGCTCAGTGGCCAAGAGCAGCCCTAGAGAACTTCCGATAAATCCAAATGGCCTGGCAGGATCAAGGGGTGGAGAAGCTCATAGGCAGAGCAGAAGGGAGGGTGGGCACCCACCCTGGGGCACAGCCAGATCGAGGCCAGGGAGGACATGCTGCAGCAGCCACTGCCTCCGTGCGCGGGCGGGCAGCAGTCTGACCCACTCTGTGGAGTCGGAATAAATGCTGGGAAGCATCCCTGCACGCGAACACGTAGCGGTTGTCACGTCACTCTTCTTACCATGCGGGTTGTGCCCGGTGCATGTGCTGTTCCCCTCGGGCTGCCAGAGCAGCACCAGAGATGGAGGAGTGGCTTAAAACAGCACAAACAGATTCGCTCACTGTGCTGGAGGCTGGAAGTGCAAAATTGAGGTATCAGCAGGGCTGATTGCTTCTGGGGCTGGGGCGGGAGAATCCATCCCAGGTCTCTCTCCTCACCACTCATGGCCCTGGCAGTCCCAGGCACCCCTTGGCCTGTGGGCACATCCCTCCAATAGTGGCCTCCATGTTCACTTGACGGTCTACCTTATTTCTCTGCACCCCAAGTATCCTTCTTTCTCTGATAAGGACATTTAGGGCACACTCCAACATCTCAAGATCCTAAACTTATTTACATTTGCAAAAATCTTTTTTTTTTTCTTTTCTTTTTTCTTTTTTTTTTTTGGAGAAGGAGTCTCACTTTGTCTCCCAGGCTGGAGTGCGGTGGCGCGATCTCGGCTCACTGCAAGCTCCGCCTCCCGGGTTCATGCCATTCTCCTGCCTCAGCCTCCCAGTAGCTGGGACTACAGGCGCCCGCCACCACGCCCAGCTAATTTTTTGTATTTTTAGTAGAGACAGTGTTTCACCGTGTTAGCCAGGATGGTCTCAATCTCCTGACCTCGTGATCCGCCCGCCTCGGTCTCCCAAAGTGCTGGGATTATAGGCGTGAGCCATTTTTTTTTTCAAATAAGGCTGTGCTCCTAGGTACTGGGGATCAGGATGTAGACTTTTGGGGGATTCTATGTGACCTACCACAGAACATGTGTGTCTGGTTATGGGAGTGGAGAAAGGGGAGGAAATTCGTTGAGATTCTTCTGCTCAAGCCTTACCTCTTCAGGGGCTTCTCTGGACCACAGCCCCCAAAACGCACCCCTGCCCACCCAGAGATCCATTCAACAAGTGTTTGCTGAGGGCCTGCTGTGTGCCAGGTACTGTCCTCGCACCAGAGAAAGAGCAGGGACAAAGAGAAGACACTCCTGCCCTGTGGGAGCTCGAATAGCAACAGGGACACAGACAGTGAAGAAGAGAGATGAGAAAAACCCAGATGCAAGTCAGGTGGGGTGAATGCCCCAGGAAAAGTCAAGTCAAGCAGGGGAAAGGGGATGGGGACTGTGATGTCAGGATTCGTGGCCAGGGCAGGCCTCTCAGGAAGTGACCTCAGAGGATGTTTGGGAAGGGCATTCCGGGCAAAGGTATAACCAGGGCAGAGACCCTGAGGGGAAGTGCCTGTCATGTCCAACGGCACAGGGCCATGTACTTGGGGTGGGCTCAGCTGAAGAGGGCAGGGGACATGAGGTAGGGTAATGGGACCAATTACTGGGCCTTCCTGTTTAGGCCCTCGTGCCAAGTGAGAAGGGACCACTGGGGGCTCCCCAAAACCACCCTCAGGTTCAATGGTTCACTGTAAGGACTCACAGAACTCAGAAAGGGTACCATTTATTACAGCAATGGATGCGTTAAAATCAGCAGTGGCAAGGACTCACGGAACAGAACCCAAGAGAGACCAGCACAGGTCTGCAGGTGTCCGCACCCACTGCAGGCATGCGGACAGTTCTCAACCTCCCAGCACGGAGGTGGGACAGTGAGCACAGCATGCCACCAGCCAGGGAAGCCCTCTGTACCGCGGTGTCCAGGGTTTTTATTGGGTTGGTCACACAGGTATGGCTGACCTCCCAAGTCGCAGACTTTGGCCTCCAGCCCCTGCAGAGGTCAGGCTGATGCCACATGGCCCAAAGTCCTCCCATAGACCACGTTGTTAGCACAGACCAGGGGTGTCCAATCTTTGGACTTTCCTGGCACACACTGGAAGAATTGTCCTGGGCAATACACTTAAATAAAATACACTTAACACGACAGCTGATGAGCTTTAAAAAAAAATCTCAACAAGAAAGTTTACAAATTTGTGTTGGGCCGAATGCACCCTCTGGGCTGCGGATTGGACAAGCTTAGCATAGACTACGGTGTGGCCTAGGTAAACACAGACATTCAAATCAGGCGGAACATTCCAAGGGCTTAGAGGGTGTCTCTCAGGAGCTGGTCAGGGCCAGTTTCAGGGTGGAGAATTTGAACACCCCAAACCTTTACTGCGGAAGGCCTCAGCAGGATCATCTGGCTTTGGTGGAAGCCACACTCAGGGGACCTGGTGACCAAGGCTGGTCAGGGAAGAGCGACCACAGGGGACGCAGCAGGGCCAGATGCAAATCTGCCAAAGAAAGAAAGAGGTGTCCCAAAGGGACAGCACACGGAGGCGCGCGGAAGGGAGGAGCAGAGTTCCAATTTGGGCTCCAGAGAGAGAAGGTGAAGGATGAGGACCCGCCCTGAGAGAGGGAGAAGGCCACGGGAAGGCTGTGGCAGCTGCGGGCTGAAGGGGGTTTTAGGTGAGAATCGGGGACAGCCCCGGTGGTCAGCGTGGCTGGAGGGTGTGCTCAGAGCGGCCTCCGGAGGGAGCGGCCTTGTGAGCCGGGTGGGCTCCCCCATCATGGTTCCACTGTCCCGAGCCAACCATGGAAAGGAGGGGCGCGTTTGAGGAGAAAAGAGAAAATCGCCATCCTGGAAGGCGAGAAGATGGGCTTGTGGGCGGGAGGAGGCACCGGCGGGCGGGCCATGGAGAGATTTGTGGCCCTCAGTGAAAGTCAGCCTGGGTCAGCCTGCTGGTGGGCCTTTCCCCCCCGCCCTCGGTGTCCCACCCACCTGTCCCATGGGGGTCGGCCGGGGAATGAGTGCGTGGCCAGGAGAGCGGGGCCCCGCTTTCGAGCCCGCGGGGACTCCTGCAGCTGGAGGGTGTCGTGGGCTTGGGGGACCCCAGATGCCCCGGGTCTTCCCCCAG